ACTAAGCATTTAAATATTGTTTCATATTATTGTTGTTAATGTCTATAAGGTATGCTGAATTACTTTTTCTTGTGAAGGTTAAGAAGATACATAGAGGAAATAATGTAAAAAAGATGGAGATAAGTTTGAGGGAGCTAGTCACAACATTACAACATTTATTGTGTTTTTCACCATTTACTCTGCTTTAAAATTAATTTCATTTCCAAAAAAAATTTGAGAGTCACATAAATATCCTGAGGCTTCAGTATGAAAGGAAACTATGATCATTTTTCCAAGTGAAGAAACCAGAGATGTGGCAAAAGCCTGAGGATTATTTTTTCAACACCCTAGTTTAGCACTATACTTGTTATAGTGACCCTTGCAGAATTTTTGCAGGACTCAGGGTTTGATGGTACAAGTCTCCATTTAGTATTTTTCTCCAAAGCACCCCCAATTTACCTAAAGATCAAATGCATCAAAGAAGAATATGGCTTTTTGGTAAGATACCTGAGTATACTTGGGTTAGCTGCTACTGTAAAGATTTTGACTTAATTTTGCCTGCAGTATGCAGATGGCAATTGAGAGTCATCCAAAACAATCCATAGAGGTTTTGGATGTTCAAACTTGGATGTTGTGGGGCCTAAACTCCAACCTTGCCTAAAATCAACATCACCTTTACAACAGCTACGGTGTCACATATGCCCCTGACTCAGGCTGCTCATGATCATAGATGAGTGAAAGGCACTGCAGAAGGAAAGGCCAGGGAGGAGAAGGAGCAAGTTTGTAAAGCTCCAAAATCTTCAGCTTACTGATATTTTAGCCTGAGGTACGATGTGAATTCCAAAGATGCCTGAATAGATGTGGCATGGTGCACAGCTGCAGCACTGTCTCCCCCAGGAGCAGGGTGAGGGTATGCTGAGGTGCCTGCATTGTCCTGACCAGACCAGTGGATGCATAAACAGGGAAAGAAAACTGGGATGGAAGGAAGAGACAGGCATAATGAAGGGAAAGCTCTGTGACCAGATCTGTCAATATAGATAATTCCTGCTTCCCAAACCCATCTGAAAGGCAGCTTAATAATATTAGGACATAGAAGTGTTTGCTGTGAATTACAACTAAGTGAATTGCAAGCGAAAAAAGAGGGATAACCAGATTTTTCTGTACATTAAGCATTTTCAGGTACCAAGATAACAACCTTCTCGCACTGATTCAGGATGAACTCTAAGTACTATTTTTGAACAGCTTTGGATTTTCTTAGTAAACTGTTCTTCCAGCACTGCTTGTAGTATAATTATTGCCTATCCAGCAATACCAGAAATAAGAATGTCTTATGCAATGTCTTTTTCCTCTGGGGACAATGTGAAATGGTGTTCAGAATGGTACCAAACTATAAGGTACTTACAGGGAAAAAAATCACATAGTAATCAACTGTGGAGATAAGAGGGAAAAATACGCCCCAAACCTTGATTGGAATGTATGTAAAACGACCTGGAATATATCAGACCTGTAAAAAAACCTAAAGGAAAAAAAAATTAAAGCATTGTAACTAAATAAAAAAGCCAGTAGATGGCATGAGAGACCTTGAGATTCGACATAAAATTCAGATGGCCACTAATAGCTACTCACTTCTGCAACCTTCTGAGCTGTCTCTGGTTTTAGCCCTAACTACTGTATTTGCTAGATTCCTGAGGTTTCTTATTCATCAGCTGCACTTAGATCCGCACAGTACATTTATTTTTAGGGACAACTAAAGTTCATTTAATAACTCATTCAAACATGCTGAGTAAAAGCTTAGCTCTGTTGAGTTTAACCATTGGATTCAGTGGGGTTAGAATTGTAGATGCTATTTTTTTTAATGCTCACACTGCGGAGCCAGCATTTCATTTCCAGGAGGGGTCTGGTATTAGTGGTTTTGTCCTTTCCTATCACACTGCAACTCCTTTCTCTGGAGCAGGATGATTGTGCTTTCCTGAGAGTCACTGTGTCCTTTAAAATTAGTAAATCAAAAGAGCCAGGTCTGAAGGACAAAAGGTTTGTTGTCTTTGTCCAGGATACAAAAGGCTATGTCTCTGATAGCCTTTCTGCCTGTCTGTAAAAGCACCATCCAGTTCGAGGCTTTTAGGAATAATCCACTAAGGTTTAACCAAAGCTGACCCTGAACAAATTAAGAATAGTGTTTTGATTTTTTCCAAATGTATAGTTATTTTACAGTTGGATGAATCTGAAAATGAAAACCTTCAACTTAGCAATAAAATATACTCATGTGGTTAGGAGATCTAGTGGAAAAATCTACTTTTCATTTCTAGAATCACTGAAGAACTTGCAGAACACATATGGGACTATAAATTCATAAGCATTTCTGACTCCATCAAGTAGGTAAGTAGTCATATCTTTCTGATGCAGAAAATGAGACACAGAAGTCCCCAGCCTCATGCAAAACCACATTAGATATATGCAAGGGCAGAATTAGGACTCAAGCCTGGTTTATGCTTAGGTCTGCATAATTTTTCCGACACTTTTTAAAAAAAATAATACTAGAGTACCATAATTGCCAGATTATGTTACTTGGTTACTGCAGTAAACTCCAGAATTCACTAATACATACAATTGAGAAGCACTAGGAATGAAAAGTAGAATGCATAAAAGCTCAGCCTGCGTAGTACACATTTTAACACTCAGTTGGGGACATAGCTTTGGCTTGTTTTATAAGATAGGACAGGCATGATTTCCAAATGAGGTTTAAATCTGGACTGCTGATATTCTCCCAGATGGGTTGGAAATGTCTGTGTGGTGCATTAGAAATTCCAGAAGGGCTTTTTCACACTTGTACTGCTAATGTTCTTAATTCCTTTGGCAAAATGAGCTGGTTCTAAGTCTTTTGCTTTGCTGTGAACACTACCAACCTCAGGCTTTTCGAATGTTCATTACATTGTGATTTTACAGCTGCAGTGAAGACTTTCAGGCAGTCAAAGGCATTCAGCTGTCTCAGCAAGAGGGCAGTAACGAACAGGAGTTGGACAGAAAGGAAAGGCGCCCCTTCGAAGTGGAAATAATGAGAGCTGTGTCCCACCCATGCCCTGTGAAGAGCACAGAAAGGTCTGTGACTGCTTTCCCCTGCTTGAGCCTGCACCCCAGCCCAGGCTGCAGTACTGGTGGGTGATGGTGAGTGACTTCCCTGCCCTGGGAGCACAATTTCTTCACTTACTAATGGCTCTTTGCTGTTACTAAATCCCTGTTTTAGTAGCTGAACATGAAATTTCATTTTTCTTCTCTCCCTACTACCTTTGTCTTATCTGAAGTGGTTGACTGGCAAAAGTTTCTCTTTTGCAAACAAGTGGATTAAAGAGAGAGGTGTTGGATTAAAGAGGACAGCCTGATCCTATGAAAGTCAATGTCAAATCTCCCATAAGCCACAGTGAAAACAATACCAGAAAGAAAAGAACTCTCCAGGTGTAAGACTACTGTGATTTTAAGGGAAAGTGGAATGCAATATTCTTCATCTCCCCTCTTGTTTGAGGCTGTTTTGCAATCTAGCACTTCTGATGAGTTAGTAAAACACAGCTTTTGTACAGAGAATTTGTGAATGCTTTATTACAAATAAAAACACAAGGCAAGAATTCATGCTACTGGTCTTAGTTTGGAGACACATGCACCAAAAAAAGCTGTTGAATAGAGCACTGGCTATTTGCATATATTCTCAAATACAATACATAGATGAAATTAAAGCTGGGAGAAGAGAAAGAGGCAGGCCTTTTGCCTTTAGGGGGTTAACCTCAAGGTTATCCCCATGAGAGAGGCTTGGGGCAGAGGCAAATACCCTTGCCCCAGAGTATGCACCAGGCATCTAGTTTGAACAAACCTGTAATGGCTTACTTCTGGAAGTAATGGTGTTATGGCTGTACATAAAGAAAAACTGGGCCTTTTCTGAAAGTTGGTGACAAGCAGCAACTCGAGAGAGAGTAAAAAGAGTACCTCCTTATATTATTCATGCTTCTGCTCTTAAAGAAGAGCACTGTGAAGTGTTATGCTGTAATTGGTCAATTATTTAGTCTTCAATCATCCTTCTGATAGATCAGTTTTTAGTTAGAAAGAAAAGTATTTTCTTTAATGACAGTTTCCTGCCAGGGGTTGGGTTCAGCTGTACCTTGCCCACGCTAAGGCTTCTCTTGGAGGAGAGTGCTGGCTGCTGTTCACTGTTATGGAAAACAGACCACGGTTCAGTGCACAGCTGATTTGTGACACAGGGTGAAGAGATATTGTGCCATTGCAGGGGGGTTTGAAGGTGCCACCTATTCCTGGTCCCCTGGGGTGGGAGGGAATTACCTTTCTGTACAGTGAAAGCTAGCAGATTGACTCTTCACTGGTTAAACACAGTCTGACTGTCCTTCTTGTATTTTATTTCAGCTTTATGATGCTATTGATCTTACATATCTTTCTATATATTGCTTTTTGGAGTATTTGGAATGCTACTTGATGTATTATTGTTCCCAGAAGTTTTTGAAGCCATCATTTTCATAAATATACAATAGGAGATGGTAAAGCAAAAAAAAAAACTTCCTATTCACACTTTCAGTTAGTTCATGAAGCACCAGCACATCCATTGAAATTTAAATGAAAATGGGGACTGTGTCACACACTATAGCTCTCTGGAAAGCTACAGTGGGAGTCTAGCAGTCCAATTCATTCCTTTGTAGAATGTACTAAGGCTAATGGTCTTGCTGGGAGTAAAATATATTTTTTTGCAGAACGGTTCCAGGAACAGACGCTGCTCTTTACCAGAAAACATAAAAGAAAACAAATGCTTACTGTGTCTTTAGTATGCTAAATATGAAATTCTTTGCACAATGGAATGTTAGCAGTAGCCGTAATCATGTTTTCTTTTCATCACCTAGTGAACATAATTTTAAGAGCGGACTGCTGTAATTATATCTCAGATAAAAGGGAGCAGAATTTCTGTATAATATTATAGTTGGCCTGATTGTTTTGTTGATAGGGAAAAATAAAGAGAGACCACATGAATACTTATTTAATGAACATATTTATTAAGCAGTGCAGACTGTACATAATGCATTTGACTTTGCAGTAGGCTTATTTTCTTCAAGCACCTTTCTTAATATTTTACTACAGCTATTATGTTCCCTTCTTATCTGTCCAGCTAGTCAATTATTTGTGTAGTATGTCTATAGCACACCGCCAAAGCATTTAACTTAACTACAGCTGCCAGTGCAGGTACAATCAATGTCAGCTTCCACAGACTCCACAACATCCTCAGATGCAGATTTCTTATCGCTGCTTTTCTGCCATTCCAACAGGCTTACAGCAGTTTCTGTCAGAGGAGCAAAGCCATTGTTAACTAACATCAAGCAAATTAACACGTTTCAAATAAATACTGTTTTGATGGCTGTCAACTCCCTCATCAAGTAAAGAATGAAATCCTGCCCTCACGGCTGACATCTAACTGACTCATTGACTTGGAACAGGATTTTCATCCATGATATAATTACTGTAATACTTCCCCAAACCAAAATGAATTACATTTCATGCAGCATAAAGACAAAAGGAGGCTGTGAAAGTGCTGGAGGTAGCCCCTGTCAGTATAAGACCACCACGTACCAATCCACATCAGCAGTCGCTTACGTTAGTGCTGCATATCACTGGGTATTACAGCTGACTGTTTGTCGAAGTTCATTTCTGAAGGGTAAGCCCTTTGGAGAATTTTCAGAGGTTCATAAACTCCTAATTAAAGTTTCCCATATATTGTGAAATCTGGCAGAGCATTGTCAGTTGCAGTATTAACCTTACCACACTGCTTTATCAACAGCAGCTTGAATAAGCCATATTCCTTAATGCTGAAATAATCTAAATGGAGTAATGATATTCATCCTCCCAATAAATATTCCTAGCTAGCTGGAGGTTTATCACTGCATCTGGAAGAATATTAGGACATCCATTTAGATTAAGTTTGTATAATGAGAATGCGTAAAGCTTTCATAATTTTACTTCCATTTGTTTTATTCCTTAGTTGGACAGTACATTTGTAACATGCCATCCCTCATCACAGGGAAATGTGGACACTGCTGTATGAGTTCAGGTTGATCGGTCACTTATTTTCTGAAAGGTTAACACTCTCTGTGGCTAAATTACTGTCCAACATTAACTGCAGGTTTTGCTTAATAAACTAGATAATAAATATTTCCCAGAAAGATGCTGGAGATGCTTTTAAAAATACATATTATGTTTTCAGGCTGTGAAATGAGAAATAAAAGAAAATGTCTGGATTCTGCTTTTTATATACGTTATGTCTCTTACTCTTGGCACACTGTGGGTCTGAGCACATTCATATCCATGTAGGAAACAGTATCCCTGCAAACTGGATCACGGCTGAGTAACCGATCCCCATGCGTAGGCCTTGTGGGAGGTTTGAAATATAAACCAATATGTGGGCTGAAACTTGGAGTGATGCCTGCCTCAGTCAAGTTCTTAAGGCCACAGTCTTGCTGATTTGAGGACAACAGGAGAAATTATGCATTCTTGTACTTCATTTTGTCCTTGCTCCACTAGTAACAGTGATGGGGTCCTTCAATTTTGAAACAGCAAACTATCATGTCTGAATGCTCATATAAAGAGTTGAGAAAAGTTCTTTGTCCTGTGCATGCATGTTCCTAGATTGAGAAAAGTAAAGATCTCTACTGCTTCTACTGCTTCTCCAAATCATCAGACAAAGAAAGAAAAAAATAGCTTTGAAGTGCTGGCCTTGTATTCCTATTGATCCTTAGACTAAGAAAAAGCAATCAATTTAGCAAGATAACAATAAATGGTATATTTTTTTCTTCCTTCTCCCTCTCCTCCTCTTTTTCTGCTTCCTTTTATAAATAAATAAATAAAAAAATAATAAGGCCTTAATTAGAAATATTGCAAGCAGGCTTCCCAGTCTCTGCTTCAGGAAATGGACAAGAGAAGCCTGCAGTTGCTCTGAAAGCAGCACTGGCTGCAACAACTAACATATCTTTTTTTCTGGTTTTCCTCTTTTCTCAAACAGTTTTGTGAGAGAATGAGACAGCTTTATTATAGCCTAATATTCTGAGACAGTGAGTGGTCTGGGGTTATGACACTTCAGAGATACAGACTTGGATACACAATAGAAATCTGTGAAACATGGATATAACAAGATTTTGGAAGGATTTTTTTAGAGGGTGGGTTTTTCTATTTATGAAAGAATGCATCCATTCTCTTCTCAGGAAGCTATCAGAAAACTATTAACACTCTCTCTGTGCTACCTGTTGAATAGGCTGTTGCAGATATTTGACTATTATAGAGAGATCCTCTGCACTTTCCTGGGCTGATTCAGCACATTGCAGGTATTAATAACACAAGCAAAGTGTTCTACACATATGTTAAAATTCAGACATAAAAATACCCTGTCCTTTCCAGTGCTACTCAACACAGGGGTGCATTTTCTCCAGTGAAACTACACTGGATTATCCCAGCTAACAATGGGTTTGACCAACCATGGTTAACAAAGAACAAACCACTTCAATAGATACTTCCTCATGGTGAGTTTTCCTGTAAGCTATATAGGTAACTAATTAAAAGACTTATGAAAGAATGCACCAGAAATATGTGTAGTTTCCAGTTTGGATTCTCCTTTCATGATTATGAACTTCAGTGTGAATCTGTGTTAGACAGTGCCTCAGCTCTTGGTACAAACGAAATGAGAAAAGGGCTCGTGGTTTCTATTTTTTTTTTTTTTTTTAATCTGGGGCATGAGTATGTGTGTATAAAATACCTTAAAAACCAAACCATTTTCTGGAACAATCTGAGGAAACTTCCAGCAATGTGTTTTTGCTGATGTATTGCACAGTGCCATAGCATGGCAGTCTAACTACAGCACTCATGTCACACTACTTGACTGACTTTCAATTGCCTTGCCTGCCCTGGTCTACACGAAATTGCAGGCTGTAATGTACATAAAACGGCTCAGTGTTGCTTATCTCAACTTTATGGAGATCCTGAAGACATGACAAATTTTATTTTGTGATTTTATTGATCGCTGCTGCCCCTTTTACCTCCGCAAATGTTTTTCTCAGATGATGCTACCTGCCATCACCTAACCTAGCTTTTAGCTGGCCAGCACTGTCAGCAGTTATAGCAAATACTAATGGGATTAAAAACAGCAGCTCAGAGAGGAGCAATACAGGTCTGTGCATGGCTGCGCTGCGTTTTGTTCTTTCGAGTGCTCTGACAGCTCCTGCAGTACGTGACACACAGAGGGAGAAAAATACTGTACCTTTTGGGAAGCAGTGGAAGCCAACCTTTACTGAAGCTTTTTCAATTGGAGTACAGTCTTTCATACATTTCAGTACTGGGTCAACAGAGTAGCACGTAGATTCCTCACCATCAACAGTAGGATTTCGATTTAGCTTCACATAACTGCGCTGCAGCTTGCACCCTAGGAAGAAAAGGAAGGGTAGTTAGAATTGTAGGAATAAATCCCAATCAATCCTTGCAATAATAAAGGTCCATATTTTCTCTTCAGCTTTTATAAAAACGCAGGTATCTGACAAACCATTTTTACTGTAGTGAGGTTATCAAGATAGGACAATAAGTTTGTTGACGAGAGTCTGAAAGGGGGCTATTTTTAAAATCTAATTGCACAATACAACCCAAATGGAATTATGTATACTCAGTTTTTTAGAAATACATAATACACAGAAAATAATCTTTCATGTCTGAAAGCTATTAAGAATAGATACTGCAAGCACAATGGCTACTTCATTGCATTAGGAAAAATGTCAGCTGTAGTGAATGGATAAAAAAGAGGGCAGCATTTATATAATAACAACTGGGATAATTTTTGTATTGGATGATTTTTATAATGTTGCAATTATCTCACTAGAAAGGTATAATGTAACTTAGCAGGATCCCAGCTACGACTCTGTTTCCTGACACACAGATAAGTACAATTCCGCTGCCACTGAAGTCAAGGAGAAAACAAATATTAACTTCAATATAATTATTTTAGGTCCAAGGTAAATGGAGACTTATCAAACAAAACTGTATTGATGTTATAAGAGTCTAACATTGTTTTTCCAGCTACATGTGAGATGAAGCTCTTTACTGTAGGAGTTCTAAATATTTTCCTGAGATTGGACCCTCACATGGTGCAGAACAAAAATTAAATATTTTTGCACTTTGGAAACTTACATGAGTGTAGGACCTGACACTGCATTCATGGTCTGCAACCTGTGTGGTGAAAATCTGCAGACAACAGCTGAAACTGTTTTGATAAATTGGTGAAAATCACACTTTTTTTTTAGTGGAAGCAAGATTAGGTCTGATTTTGCCTCTCAAGGAAAAAGCTGCTCAATGTAAGAAATAAAAATCAATTATTTAACATTGAATTGAACATTAGACAAAGACTTTTGCTGGAGTATATATTCTCTATATTCATAAGCAGTGTTTTAAACACTCAGTGGTTAATAAAGTTAAAATGGATACATATTGCTATTGAAATTTCTAAGTAAAAGATATCTACTGCTTTAAAAAAACATTTTCTAGCTGTTGCCAGAACTGAAATCATAATCTATCCAAGCATAAAGATTTTCCATATCCACTCACCACCAGAGCAGGTTTCTTCTAGCAATACCCATGAATGAACAAACGCAGAGCAGCTGTGTGCCAGCCTACGGTTTGGCATGAGGAGCTCATTTTCCTTTTCTCTGTCATTATTACCACAAACTCCGCAGGTCTTTCCTCTCATCCATGAAGCAACCGTAACCTGGAAAGTAGCACACCTTTGTAGTGAATGCTGAAGTGTTGGTCTGTCAACTGGCAAGGTACTAGACAGAAAAAAAGCAGCAACCTTGAAAGTGCAGTACCTGAAGATTTACACCATCAAAAGTCACCTTCTTCAGTCCGAGCCCTGGAACTTCCACGGTAACGGTTTTTCCATTTTTATAAATTTTAACATTGTCTGTAAAGCGATGGTGAATCATACAGTGATCATCTTAAATTAATGGAGAAACTGTGTAACACAAAACCCACCACAATGCATTTTCCTTCACAATGAACATTTTGCTGCTACAGCTAAATATATATATTTAAGTGGAGGGGAAAAACAAAAGTAGAAGAAATAATACATTTTCAAAAATATTTTACTGCTGTTACCTATAGTTGGAACTGACTTCTGTACCCAGTGTGCTAAATTTTGAAATTATAATGACAGTGGTGGTACTCCAGCTAAATGTCTGAACTAAAGCATCTCTCTGTGACTGTGACATGAATTTCTTTTCTGAAAAATCACCAGCCTGGATATATGATAAGAAAGGGTTTTATTCCCCTGTCAATTATGCTGGAGAAAAGTAAGAGTACTGTAGGAAACACGAACATAAGCCAATACAAATCTTAAGAAAGTGGTCTTTAATTTTCTCTTTGAATTAATTCTAGTTGTGTTTTCTTTACACTGAGATTTTTCTGTGAAATTTATAAAATCTTGATATTTAGTTCCCAAGTCAGTCCTGGAAGGCTCGGTATCACAGCTTACTTTTTTCATAATCAGAACCTCCACTGTGTGATAGAACTTGTTCTTCATTGCATGCCACAAGGAGAGACGAATTTGAGGCAGGACAGATCGTGATGTTCCTTCAGAAAAAGGAAAAAAAAAAAAAAAGAATAAATTAGTGGCAAATTTAAAATGTGAAAAGTATAGCTGTTTGTGACTATCTGAATTTGAATGAATGAATAAGCAAATTTTCTTTCCAAAGTGCAAAACTAATTGGGACTGTAGGCTTTAATATTCAGCCTTTAAAGAAAAGACAACATGGGAACTGAGTAAGCAAGCTTTCAGATATTGGTGGTGGTAGAATTCAAGACAAGAGCAACTACACCATAGAGTCTCAGATGAAGATCCTTTCTGGAAATTCTGTCCCCATATGTCTCATTCAAAACCAGTTTCAGCTAGAAACTAGGTATCTCCCACTCCCAGACTAACTCACTGAGAAACTTTAGACCTGATTTCTAAGCCTCAGTATAACCACACTTACGCTGCTGTTGTATTTATGTGAACCT